AATAATCAAATTGTCCCCAGTTTGTACACTAGTATTCTCAGCCTGTGGGCCCTGGAATCTTCTCAAAATGTCCAACGAGTTTTGAAGAATGTCTTTGTTGCTTCCATTAGGGTATTCCATAATCTTCAGATACCTTTGCTTCTTGGAGCTGGAATCAGCCATTTATGCAAGGAGCTTTCATGTGAGAAAGTGGCCTTTGGACTCAGATTGTATACTACAAACTCTGGTTCCTACCCAGTGCCCTACTTCATCTATCATCTGTCTATCTATCTATCTATCTATCTATCTATCTATCTATCTATCTATCTATTACCCTTAGTCCATGTTTGCAGAACATAATGATTACATTTATCATGGGGAGTTGGTACATGAACATAACACATCTTAATTCTTTTTATGGTTTTCTTTGTGTTTATCTTCCTTAGGATTTCTTGAAATTCTTAATGCTGTGGATTTTCATTACATTTGGAAAAATTTTGGTTCTTACATTTGTCCTCCTCTTTGTCTTTGTAAGATTCTATTTACACATATATTAGACTCTCTGATATTGTCCTAAAGGTCACTGAGGTCTTGCTTATATTTTCCTACCTTTATCTTTCTGTATCTCACTTAAGATAGTTCCTATTTCTAGGTTATTTTATTTTATTTGATTTTTTGAGACAGGGTCTCCCTATGTAGTGTAGGCTGGCCTTGAACTCACTAAGTAGCCCAGGCTGGCCTTAAACTTCTGGCAATCCTCCTGCCTCAGCCTCCCAAATGCTAGGATTACAAACCTGTGCCACCTGGCCCAGCTTCTAGGTCTTTAAATTCACTAATTATTTTCCACTGCCTTAAATTTTATTCAGTGAAATTTTAATTCCAAGTATTGAATTTTTCAGCTCTAGAAGTTTCATTTAATTACGAAAACTTCCTTTCTCTTCTCATTATATTTATCTTTTCCTTTAAATCACTGAGCATATTGAATGTACTTATACTAGCTAGTTTGTTGTTTTTGATAACTCCATCATCTTTCTTTTCTAACCATATTTATATTGATTGGTATTTTTCTTGATTATATGTCCATTTTCCTGTTTTCTCACAAGTCTTATAATTTTTATTAGGTGTGGACTTTGATAAAGGTTACATTATAAATGAGCTAGGTTTTGTTATTTTACTGTACAGTACTGAAGTATTTTTGGGCAGGCAGCCATTTGTTGATTACAATGAAAATTCAGGACTTCCTTTTAAGCCTATGCTGTAGGCTAGTTTCACTCTGTTACTAAGGTGTAACCTAATTGTTCCCTGTTGAATGCTCTGGGTGTTTAACAATGTCCCTGAAATCTGGCTGGCAGGACTTAAGCATCTCCCATTTTGAACCCTGAAAATTATTAATCTTACAGCTTCCCAGTAGTTATTTTTTATTTAGTCCTGTGGAATTTCATCCTAAACATGTAGTCAGCTAAAAATCCAAAATGACCGCAGAATTCTAGAGTTCGTTTTTTACTGGGCTGGGAATCAGTAAAATCCTACAAGTAGAAAGTCAGGTCATTGGTAGAGCTTGCCTCGTTTTACTCCCTTCGCTCAGGGATTATCATCCTCTATTGCCCATGGTAATAATACGTCCTGTCCAAAATTCAGATATTGCCAATGTGATAGAATTAAATAGGCTCTTCAGCAAGTGATAAGATCATAAAGTCCCCTCCTTTGTGAATGAGATTAAAGCCCTCATAAAAGAAGCTTCACAGTGTTCAGCCTTCTTGCCTTTCTGCCTTCTGTGGATCCTCCTCTGTTCTCTGGAGCACGCAGCAACAAGGTACCATCTTGGAAGCAGAGAGCAGCCCTCACCAAATAACCAAACCTTCCAGTGTGTTAAACTTCTAAACCTTGAGATTCTAAGAAATTAACTTCTATTTATTACAAAATGCCTAGACTATGATGTTCAGCAGCACAAATGGACTGAGATAAATTCTTAATGTCTGAAAACAGTCATTTCACATGTTTTGGTCCAGTTTTATAGTTGTTCATGGTAGGGGAGCTTGTTTGGTGTGGGTTACTGAATAATGGGAAAAATAGGAGTATATTTTTTTTAACTGTTCCTTTTGTAACCTTTTGAGGTTGTTGCCTGGTTCAATAACTTTTATCTTTTGTTGTTTGATTTCTAATGAAGATATTTATGGGTTGTACATTTCCTCAGAAGATTGCTTTAACTTTATCCTACCAGTTTTGCTAGGTAGTTATTTTTGTTATGTTTCAATTAAAATACTCTCTAGTTTTTATTATGGTTTCTTCTTTGGCCCATAGTTTGTTTCCACAACTAGAGAGTATTTTAAGGAACAGTTAAAAAAAAATAAGGGGCTGGGGATTTAGCTCAGCGGCAAAAGCGCCTGTTTGGCAAGTGCAAGGTCGTGAATTCGGTTCCTGGTACAGGAGAAAAACCAAAAAAACAAAAAAAAAAAAAAAAAAAAAAAAAAAAAAAAAAAAAAAAAAAAAAAAAAAGAGACAACCCAACCCTAACCCTAACACAACTATGACTCTTTTGCTGAACACATATATTGTAAATACTTCCCCTTGTGTGTGGTTTATCATTTTTACTGGTAAAGTCATAGTTTTTAATGAAGATAATTTCTTAATTTTAATAGAGTCCAATTATGAAAACATTTTTATGGCCAATAATTTTTGTGGCCTACTTAGAAAGTTTTTGCTTATCACAAGACCTTGAAAATATTCTCTGTTTTCACCTAAAAATTACTGTTTTAATTTTTAGTTAGGCTTATGATGTATCCTAAGCTATTGGTTTTCAGTGTGGTACTTTTATACATGCAATAATATATTTTGATCATACCTGTCTCCCCATTATCTTTTCTTATACTGAGTTATCTTTGATGAAGACTTGTGGAATTAAACAGGTGTCATTTTACAAATCAGGTAACTAAATATGGTTAGTTTTGTTTCTGCACTATATTGTATTCCATTTACCCATAGATCTTTGTGCCTTATTTTGCTTTAATTTTTTTTCAAAGTTCACTTTCTAACTCTGCTGCCAGTACTGGGGCCTTTATCTTGTTTATCCCTCCATACCTACTTGCTCTTCTCCATCATACTGACCTCAGGGAAGTTGACCTGAATGGATTACATTAAGGTTTTCCTGCATCTGATTCTGGGGCCAGTGGAGTATCCTGGGAAGATGGTAGAGGGAGTGAGGAAAGATCAGTTTTCCCTCCTCTAAGGTTCCCTTAGGTTGGTTTTGTGATTTCACCAAATGTCACTGCTACTCTCATGGCAGCAAAGCTTATATGTCTTATCTCCTGGATTCTGATAACTTCTCCCCATCGTTATCCAGTTCTAGAAGAAGTGACCGTCCTATGCTTGCTAACCCTGCCTGGATGTCTGAATTGTCCCTTAGTAACTCTATACCTTTGCACATAAAATTGTTATAAGATCCTGATTTGAATGTACTGTTGTCTACTGAGACCCTAACTAATGTGCTGGTATATCAGAAAGTTTAAAAAAAATATATCTATTATTCAGCATCTTTGCTAAGTATTCTTTAGTTTTAATAGAAATTCTGGGATTTCTTGTGTAAGCCATCATAGTATCTTGTATGTGGTGACCTTTTGTGTTTCTTCCTTTTTTTTTAAACAGTGTGTCACTATGTGGTTCAGGCTGGCCTTAAGCTCATTATGTAGCCTAGGATGGCCTCAAACTTGCTGTGATCCTGCTGCCTCAGCCACCCAAGTGCTGGGATTACAGGCTTGCACCACCATACCTGGCCTGTGTTTCTTCCTTTAAAATACTCTTAATTTCTGTTCTGTTCATTTCTTGTTTCCTTGGTTTAAGCTCCCACTATAATGTTGAAGAGAAATAATTATAGTTGTCTGATTCCTGGTTTTGAGTTGAATAAAATGGGTTGTTCACTATTAAGCATTACATGTGTTGTAGATCTGCGACAGGCACCCTTTTGTAACTCAAGGAATTCTTTAGTGCATTGTTTGAGATAACCATAAAGCTCTTCTCTCTTTCTCTTTGTTTTCTCCCTTGGGTCTATTAGTGCATGTCAAAGACAAGGCCATGGAGACCTTCATTTCTTGCCCCAGCATAGAAGGAGTATAAGAATCCCTTAGTACTCACAGGTAAAGCTTAGGCTATTTGGAATCTTTTGTGTGGAACATAGAAGATGTCTACAGTGGCTTAATTTTGATGTACTATTTTGTTTACAAAACATCTGCTCTTTTATTTGCTTAAGTGCTCTTTTCCTTTAGGAGTCAGAGAAAGAGTAAAGGAAATGATGTGGAGAGAAACCCATTCCATTTGTTGTGGGGAGAAGCTAAAGCTGGAGAATGATCACTCATGCTTGGGGCTAGAGCAAGGCTGGTCTGAGAACAAAGAATGCCTGAGGCAAGCTACATGAGCAAGCTGCTCCAGTCCAGAGAACACCAGGCGCCTAAGGCAATCCATGCAATGGGTTGCTAGGCAGAGGGGTGTTATGTGACATCAACCCGCCAAATGTATAAATAAATGAGCAGTTCCTTTCCTCCCATCCTGAGAGGGCTCCACCTGATCCCATCTTTCTGTATCTTGTCTTCATTTCTTCATCTTCACGCCACCCTTTGGGGTCCTCATCCTGGGAAGTTCGAGAGCCGCACAGGCTGCGGCAATTTGTAATTTGCACTGATCCTGTGAAGCTGGTGTTAGTATGCCTATTTTACAAATGAGGAACCTCAGAGAGGTGAAATGCTCTCCCCAGGATACTGGCAGAGAGACATCTTGGCTTTCTGGCTTGAGCTCTTATACTTGGAAACACTACTTGCTTTCTTACTACAGAGAAGTGAGACTTGGGCCCTACCAATAGTGTAGTTCCTCTCCCTGACCCAGCCTCAGCTGTAAGCATCTCCTCCTATTGTCCCACCCTTCTGTTCAGTTCCCCAGCAGTTTGACCACTGGGAAGCATTGTGGTCTTCTATTCTGCTCCCAGACCTCCTGGACACACTGAGAGGGGTGTATCCTGCCATTGCTGTGAGTACTAGGTATGTGCATGTGTGGAGGGGTAGGATGGCCCTGGGTTCCTCTCTGAAAAAGAGAAAGGAAGTGAGCGGGGCTCCAATTCTGCTTCTCTGTGGACCAAGCGGGAGCCAAGATGCATAGACACTTGCTGCTGTCTGGTCTGCTCCTGATTCTTCCTCTGACTGCAGGCTGGAATGCTTCCAATTGCCTGGTGATAGAAGGTTCCCGGCTGCCCCTGGTCTCCTGCTTCTTCACAATCTGCTCCTTGGACTCTCAGCTGCTTCTCCTTGTTTCATGCAACTTGGTGACCAACCTGACACAGGCCTTGCAAGCTGTGCCTCAGAACGTAGAGGGGCTCTGCCTCGGTGGTTCTATTTCTGTTCTGCCCCAGGCTGCCTTCTCCACCTTGCCTGGGCTCAAGGCCCTGGGGTTGAGCCTGCATCTTACCAAACTCCACCAGGAGCTTTCCAGGGATTGGGACAGCTTCAGAAACTCTCTTTTATATCTGCCCCTGGAAAGGAATACCTCTTTCTACCCTCTGATGCCTTTGGTGACCTGAGATCCCTCCAGAAACTCCAATTCTCGGGCCTCTGCCTGCATAGGAATTTGAGTGTCCAATTGCCTCGCAGTGTACAACAGCTGGCTATCACCTGCAGTTGCCTTCAGGATGTGGGTGAGTTGGCTGACATCTTCCCAGATCTGGTACATGACCCCTCCTCTGGAAATGCCTGGACCCTGGACACATTGAATCTTTCAATGAACAAAAGGCTGAAGATGGCCAGTCCTGGGGCCCTCTGGGGCCTCAAGGTAGGGACTCTGTACCTGACCCATACAAAGATGGAGGCAGCTGCAGTGATGGGACTGGGGCTTCAGAGGCTCAATGCTCTGTTCATGAGATTCACTGCCATGGCTGAGCTTCCTGCTGAGACAGTTGCCCACTTCGAGCTGCAAGAGCTAAATTTGGAAACAAATAAAATAAGTGACATAACTCTGGAAGCCCTGGCTTTTTGCCACAGCCTGAAGACCTTGAATCTTCAGTCTAATAACCTCACTAAGCTGCCACTGGGTTTCCTGGCAGCCATACCCAGGCTTCAGAGACTGAACTTGGCCCATAACAAACTACAGAATGCCACCCTGTGTATGAGTGAGACAGAAGCTATATCAGGACTGAGGACCCTGGATCTGTCTGGCAATCGGCTACGCACCCTGCTTCCAACCACTTTCTCCTGTCTGCCCAACCTGCAAGAGCTTCTACTTCAGGGAAACCAGCTGGTTTTCTTGGATGGACAGGTATTCCAGGGCCTAGGGAGGCTAGAGATCTTGGACTTGAATAAAAATCCACTGGTACAGCTGAGTGAGGGCTGGTTGACTTCTCTGCCTTCACTGACCACCCTCCATCTGCTGGACACCCACATTTTGTTGAACTCAACCTGGGGCTTCTGGGGTCCAGAGAATCTGCACAACCTAAGACTACAGCTTCTCTCTACCTCTGCTGGGATGACATTGTCCTTGCCTACAATGCTGACCAGCTTGGAGCTTCATGCTGGCTCAAACACAAAGCACTGGCAATTGTTACCTAATGTATTTCCAGTCTTACAAAACCTGACTTTAAAAGGCTGGGGACTGCAGCTGGAGACCCAGAACATCTTTAAGATCTTCCCTGCCCTTCATCAACTCTTCCTGGTTGGCAGTAGTTTGAAGGCCCTCTGCTCCCAGAACACCTCCAGCATCTTCCTCTGGCAGCTCCCCAGGCTCCAGTCCCTGAGGGTACGGGGGGATGGGTACAACCCCAGGCCCTGCTGCATTACAGGACTGCCCAGCCTTCAGGAGCTGAAGCTGGAGGCCCTGAAGTTCAGATCACAGCCCCGCCCAGTGCGGCTGGAGGAGCTGGTGGGTGAGCTGCCCAGGCTTCAGGTGCTGCAGCTGTTGAACACTGGGTTGGAGACACTGTCAGCTGCTGCTTTCCAGGGCCTCAGCAGTCTCCAGGTTTTGGTGCTAGACTGGGAGAAAGGCCTTGTGCTGGATGACAGCTTGTGGGAACATAGTCCTCAGATGCCCCAGTACATGTACATTCTGTCTTCGTCCTTGGCCTGCCAGTGTGCCAATGCCTGGGTAGGACCCTGGCTGGAGCAGTCCCCCAGAACCTACATGTATGTATCAACAAAGACCTGGTGCCCCTCGGAAGTAAGAAACAGATCTCATAGTCCCCTTTTCCCCTTTCTCTGGAGTCACTGCCCTAAGACCTCAGAGTTGGAACTCTTTTTGGGCAGCTCTACCTTGCTGCTTCTGCTGATCTCCCTGCCCCTCCTCCAGGAAGCCAAGACCTCCTGGGTTCTCTATCTCCAGGCCTTGTTCAGGGCTTGGTTCCAAGGTCTGAGGGGTCGAAGGGATGAGGGCAAGAGGTTCCTGTATGATGTCTTTGTGTCCCACTGCAGGCAAGACCAAGACTGGGTAATAAAGGAGCTGCTGCCTGTTCTGGAGGGCTGCCCTCCTGCTGGCCAAGGACTGCGCCTCTGTCTCCCTGAGCGAGATTTTGAGCCAGGCAAGGATGTGCTCGATAACGTGGCAGACAGCATAGCAGGCAGCCGTGTAACCCTCTGTGTGCTGAGTCATCAGGCCCTGCACACACCTCGCTGCTGTCTGGAGCTCCGCCTGGCTACCTCCCTCCTGCTGGCTGCGCCCCACCCCCCAGTGCTGCTGGTGGTTTTCCTGGAGTACATCTCTCAACACCAGCTCCCCCGATACCATAGACTGGCCTGGCTGCTCCGTCGAGGAGACTACTGCTTGTGGCCCAAGCAAGACCAGAAGGACGACTTCTGGACCTGGCTGAAGAACAGGCTGGGGAAGTCTGGGTTAGGCAGGGTAGGGGCATGTGTGTCGGAGGGTGGGGGCAAGAAAAGCAACCATGCTGGCAGAGAGAGAATAGACATGTATGATTTGTGAGGTTGAACTCAGTTTCCAGGAGGAGGGGGTGCTGTGGGTTTGATAAGGACTAAATGCTGGGAACAGAGATTGTGGGAGGCTCTAGTGGCTGAGTGAAAAAATTGGGGGATGGTAAGTGGCCATATGGCATGCTATGGGATCTCAAATTCTGCATATCTTCAGTACATTTATTAAACCTACGAAATGCTTGGCTTGATGAGGTGTTTTTAAAAAAATGGAAACCCACATGAAGCAGGGGATAAGGGGACTACTGAGTCACAGAAATTGTAACCCAGAGAAAATAAGGCAGGAAGGATGCATAAGGCATATGGGGGAAGGAAGGAGGGTAGGCTCTGGGTACTGTTAAACTGTGGAAGCTGGGATGGATGAGGCCAAGTACAACCACACCTTCAATGGACAAAGCATCCCTTCTATGATCTGAAGTTATAGAAGGGTTGGTGGCTGAGGACCAAACAGCTGGCCAGAAGATAGCAGATCGATCCCCCTCAGTTGGAAGCATTAAGCTATGTCCACATCTCTTATGCTTTTGAGCATGACAGCAATACTGTCTCTCTGAACACTCTTCTGAAGACTACATTTCCCCTGTGGACCACCTAAGCATTCCTAAAAATTAAGCTCAGCCATCACTTTCTCTAGAAATCGTCCCTGCCTCCAGGCCTAGATAAGCTATTCCCCTGGGCTCTCTCAACTTTCTGCATCTCTCTGTTGCAAAGGCCTCACCATAGACCTGGGAGCCTCTAGTGCAGTGGTCTCCAAAGTGGGATGCACAGGGTGATCCACTAGAGCTTGAAAAGAAAATGTTATAACTTTTCTCTCTTTTAAAAATCTCACCTTATTCTAAAACTAGACTGCTTTGTAGCCATGTGGCTTTGGCATGTTATTTAATTTCTCTATCCTTTGGTTTCCTGTTGTGTAATAAAGGAAAGCATTACCCTTTCCCGGAAAGGATTTTGTGAGGGTTAAATCAGCTCATATGTCTAAAGCACTAACAGCAGGACCCGATAATTCATATAAATGTTCAATAAAATATATGTGTACTATAAAATAAATACACAGATGTTGGAAGTATATGCTTCAAAACTCAAAGGAGTGCTTGATTGGGCACGTTTTACTCATGGGAATGCTTGATTGGGAAAGTTCAGAGATCAGGCCCAGGAGGCAGGGGCCAGATTTATTTCATTTGTCTCTGCATGCTTGGAGTGTAGTGCAGGCCAAGATGAGAGAGAATTCTGATAAGTAACTGGACAGAATGTGGGTTTGGCACCAGCAAGAACCTAGGTCTGACGCAGGCTCTGTTATTTATTTCCATATGACACTGGACAGGGCACATTGCGTCTTTGGAGACTTTCTTAGTTTTTCTCTTCGGTACAATGTCAGGCTTTAGTAACACAAAGGCCAAAGGAAACCACAGAACAATTCCAGGCTGGCTTTAGGGTGAGGGGTGCCCTCTTGTGTCCTAATGGTGTTTTTCTTCCACCTCTGAAGCAGAAGTCCTTAGCTGACCCTGCAAAGCTGCCTTCCCAACTTAGAGCCTGGCACTCTCAGATATCTCCAACCCACTCAGCACCCCACAGCTGCACTGTCTCTTCCTTCCCAAGCTTCCTCTCTCTCTGCCTTTAGTCTCTTATCCATAAAGTGTCAGAGAAGAGATCTTTGGAGGTACATCCCAGGGGTTCAAACTCTGCCACATACTGCCTCCATAATCTTGAGGATGTCACCTTCTGAGCTCCCCATTCTGCCTTTTTAACAACTCATAGGGCTGTTGTGAGACTTCAACAATGAATGTTAATAGGTTGCTATTAGTAAAATCACACGATTTTACTATAAATAAACTGGAACATGGTTCACAAAGAGAAGGAATTTGAACTGGGCTATTAAAATTAAAGATACAGATTTCTCCCAATTTTAACACTAGCATATGGTAGTGAGCTCCTATCATATGCTAGGCACTGTCAATTTGCTCAAAATCTCACAGCCATCAATAAAAATAATTGTAGCCAATGGTTATACATACGTTGAGCTCTTTACATACTTCCTCCCAGTTATTCCTCTCAACAAGCTCGCCTGGAAGATACTATTATTAGTCCCCTTTTCCAGATGAAGAAACTGAGGCAAAAGAGGGTAAGTGATTTGTTCAAGGTTTCATAGTCAGTGTGTGGGCAAAGTATGCATTCAGATTGAAATAAGTCTCAGACACAAGCAGCAGGACTACAGAGACTATTGCTTTAATTATATTATGTAATTTAAACTTTACAATCCCCTGCAAAGTAGGCTTGGTTATACTACTCGCATTTTACAGGTGAGAAAATCGGAGACAAAAGCAATGTAATAGTTTAAGGGCACACAGCTAGGAAGTAGGTGGGTTAGAGTTTGGATCCACGTGACTACACAACCCACATTCTCAACCCCATATTAGATTGCTCATACCTCAAAATATTCACATGGCACAAAGCAATGGCATATTGTATTTTTCTATAATAATGGTTCACATTCTTCTAACACTCACGAAGTGCCAAGCGCTGTATAAACTGATTTACATAATAATTGCTAACATTTATTGCGTATTATTAGGATCTGGGTCCTGAAAGAATTGTTTTAGGATTATCATCTCAATGCAACTTCACCAAAAGCTGGTGACATGAATGCTATAATTGTCCTTATTTTTCAGGTGAGGAAGGAGAGGGTCAAAATTCATCCATGTCCATGTAATTCAGCTGTGAGCTGAAAATTAAAGCTGCAACTGTCTTCTTGTCTCCTGCCCTCTACGTTGGTCACCTCTAGTAACCCACTTACTTTCCTGTATCTTATTGTTTCTGCTCTGATCTCTCCACGTCTACCGAGTTCTCAGCTCCCCATCAGTAGGCTCCGCCCCTTCAGCTCTGGTGCCCGCCCACTGGGCGGTGCTGTTATCACGCAGCCAACGGATGGGTCTGGATCTCAACAGGCCCCGCCCCAGGCGTTGAATCTGTTTCGATTCGTTCCGGTGCCAGAGTTGTGGGAAGATGACACATTTATTAGTTGACGACATCTCAAAGGCGGTACATGGAGGGAGCCACCGACTGGTGCTCGCGCGGTTCCTTCTGGGAGTTGTAGTTTCAGGTGCCCCGCTCTCGGGGTGGCGCCGTCGGGACTCCTTGTCCCAGCATTCCCTACGCGCGCCCTGGAGCACTTCCGCCCTGTTGTGAAGTGGGTGTCTTGGTGGGTGAGTCCGGGTGGCGGGGCGGGGGCAGCCGAGACGCAGGCACTGGGCCGGAGGCTTAGGAGGTGGTGGTGTCACAGGGACCGGGGAAGGTGAGAGGTGCAAAGAAGCTTCTGTGTAGGGGTGGAGGGTGAAGGGCGGTCAGAAGATGCAGCGTCCGGTGATGGCAAGGGTCATAGAGGGTTCGCAGATGAGGAGAAAGAGACAGGGCCGCGGGAGTGAGGCAGCTCTTAGAAAAGGTCTGTAGGTGAGGCGGAGAGAGAGGTTTAGGAGGCGGGAGAGTCATACTAGGGTCTGGAGAGCACAGAGGGAATGATAGAGGGTTCTGGGGCTCTGGCAAGAAGTGAAGATATGAAGGCCTAAACTGGAAGCCAGATCTTTTTAAAAAAGTGTTTCATTCTCTACCTCCCCGCTTAGAACGAACATACCTAATTTGATAGCTTCTTTAATGGTTGTTAGTTACTTCTAGAACCCAGTGGGTGGTATTGGCTATTGTGTTCCGCCCCAAACCCGCACTTCTTTCATTATGCCTGATGGAAATGAATGGCACTGTCATCCACTTTGCCTCCGTACCTACTTTATCTGCTTATTCCTCTTGCATTCTTCCACATCAACGGATCCTCACATCTTTGTTTGTTTAATGTCTTTAATTTGCCCCTTTCATGTCAGGAGTTTTGTGGCAGCCTCCTTTTCAGTTTCCTAGCATGGACGAAGACACTGCAGCCGGTGTGACCTATTTAACCCACAAATCTGATTGTGCTTTCTGCCTCTTAAAAAACCTATCATCACATGTTGAGTTAAATCCAAACATCTTAGCTTGTATCTAGACCCTTCATGAACTCCCTTTGTGGCCTAATCTTCATCCACCCCATGCTTCAGGGCTGTCCAATGTCCCACTGTTTTCTGGGTAGACCATTTAGCTTACCACCATTATATATACTGTTTTCTCTGCTTAGAATACCTTTTCCCCAGTTCTGCAAGAGACCCACTTTTCCTTCAAGATGCAACTCAACTGTTACATTGTTCAATTCCCTTAAGCAGATTATGTCATCTCTAACCTCCAGTTCCCATAAATTCTCTTACTGTACTTACCACATTCTATCATAATTATCTGTGGCTTAGAAAACATTTCTTCCACTAGACTGTATCACTTTACAGGTACAATCATGAATCAGCATTTCCTCACCGCTCAGTCCAAAATAGTACACATTTGATGTAAGCCAAGTAAGCCAGTAAATACTTGATGAATGTGTGACTAGAGACCATTAGGGTAAGCTTTACTATACTGGGATTGAAGACTAGAGGATTTCCAGGGCCATGAGTGTCAGTGTTCTGCCTCCCAGAATTGTTAGGTGGAAGGTGAGGCTAATTCAGGAAATTTAAACCAAGGATAGAGAATGACATGAAATATATACTTGCACTTCCATTTCCTATGTGCCTGAGAGTCATGGTTTATTGGTTGCATTACATATTCATTTGGAACTCAGATTCCTCAGCATAGTGCTGCAGAGAGCCACTTCTAGTTGACTGAAGTTACTGCTTTAAGTAAAACTTATTTGCTCTCCCTGGTTTAAACCCTGTCATGTAGGGTTGGCCTGCTTTAAGCCATAACTTAGACCATCAGTCAAGTGTGCCTGAGGGCCATTGGGAACTTCCACTTTCTTTTTATTTGGAAACCATAGACTAGTCTTGGCCTTTACACTGGGTGTGGGGAGAATTTTCTCTTCCCATCCTACACACTGGAATGGGTCCGCTTCTCTTGTCCATGTCCACATTCCCAGCTTTAGAACCCAAGATGCTTTTCAGCTTTTCTATGTTTTAAAAGGCATCCTTCGGCTGGGGATATAGCTCAGTGGCCTAAGCGCCTGCCTGGCAAGCACAAGGTCATGAGTTCAATCCCTGGTACCAAAAAAAAAAAAAAAAAAGAAAAGGGATCCTGATCTTGATGGTTGTCAGCACCTATCTTTCATCTTTTGGGGGTAGAGCATTTC